TTATTTGTAAAAATTTGTTATTCTTATTAGAGAGAGAGAGTGTGTGTGTGAGAGAGAGAGAGAGAAAGAGAGATTTTACACGACTATCTTTGTTTTACGATAATTTTTACAATAATTGATGCAATTTCTCAAAGTGATTTTTTAACGAAAGGGATATATTTAATAACATGCGACATATGTTCACTTTTCGAACACAGCGACGTAAATCGCTTGCTACAAAAATAGTCAAATATGAATTTAACCCGATATGCTTCCGAGGAGAAATTTTTCCGTTCATCCGCGTAGAAACAGGTTTATAACGATCGATCGACCATTGCGACACGCTCGGGCAGGTTTTCGGTTAAGTTAAACTAGTCCCAAAGGCAATTTCCTGAAAGTTGCCGGCTCGCATTAGACGGACACGCTTGGAGCACAGGTGCGTTTAACGTGTGTATTTCACGGTTTAATGCGAAGATCACACAGGAAGAGAAGATACGTGCACCCCGACGTATGTGTGGGTGATACGCCACCTGCCAAGCGTAATGATGATGTAATGACTCGGTGAAACCCTATCTTTATTGTTTTTCTCTTAAATTGCCGCGACTCCGTGCCCGGAACAGAGTGACTGTTACCAATTTTCGGGACGAGAAGATCGTCTTTCCTACTTTTTCAAACCCTCAGAAAGAATGAAGAGACAATTGTGTGTGGATTATTCAATATAATGACTTTTAAAACCCAATGCGTTTTTTCTGTTTTATTATTGGGGAGGCAATATATTTTGCGTCTCGAAAATAATTGCAATTGAAGTACAACATTATGGCTGTATTTTGTTTTTCCCAAACGTGCAGTATTTTCATTACATTTTCTCATTCGCGCGAAATTTATATCCGACCCCTATCGATCACACGACGCGCGCACATGGCATATCTATCTACCTATATCTCAGTGTATATGTTTTTCTATTTTTTTTAATTTTATTTCTCTCCGCGCTCCGTAACGTGCTTGGATCGTTTCCAGCGTGTAAAAAATTTATTTCCCGTGACGCGCCATTCGGGCATTTTTCAATCATTAAACGACCTCTGACCGCCACGGCAAATCGATCTGCGTCGTCGACCGCTTTTTCGCCGGAATAAGACCTTGCGACAATAAAAAAAAAAAAAAAAAAAAGAAACCAAGAATCACACGCTTCGTAGTTTGCGAGCGTATATTACGAAATTATTCTCGCGTCATTGGCGATGCACACATCGGTATACACCGTCGACGACGATGCATTCCTGCGATACCGTGCTCGGCACAATGCACCCGCGTCACAATGAGCAGCTCGTCGTCGTTTCGCAAGGTTTACGCTCCTCGAAAGTTTCGCGCTTTGTGTGGAGTCAGCAGTGTGTCGATAGACCGCGGAAACGTGTGCCGGGACAAATTTATCGTGTCGAACAAATTTATCGCCCCGTTAAATTTCCTACACACTCAAACGTCGTGTAACAGTCGGCTATTACAAAGTCAGGTGGTTTGTTTTAAGGAAAGAAATATTTTCAAAACTTTTGCTAATATTTTTTTCACCGTTGGTTAGGTTCCTGCTGTTGCTTCAAAAAATTTATCTTCCCTTATCGCTACTTCTTTCTTGTCTCGAGTACTTTTTTAGATATTTTACTTACTAACTGGACATTTTTTTTTTTTCAATAGGTTAAGTTTCGCTTTTTTCAACAATATATTTTCAAAAAACCTGATTTTACTCTCTTACACACACACACACACACACATGTACATATACATATATATATGTATAACATAGTTGCACGTGTTAATAATTGATTGGTTGGAGCGCGAGATGTCCTGAGCGACGCCATGAAAACGATCCACAATAGTCCACGTCGCTGTCGCCATTGTCCTTTGGTTGGGTGTAAAGAGGCGAAAACGGTTTCAACTTTCGAGTGCCCGCACTACCCTGTCATCTCTCTTACCCTCCGCCGCCTTTCTGCGCTGGAGTGCTGTCGCGGTGGCTTTTTCCAGCTTTGATGGAGCGCCTCTCCAGTGCGCATAAGATGAAATGAATTAGCGCACCGGAACCAGAAATCAGCCGCCGCCGACAGCAACTCTGTCACCCTCTCTCTCTCTCTCTCTTTTTCTCCCTCTCCGCCCCTTTTTCCCTGCTGTCTTTGTCCCCGCCGCGTTCTTTATCATCGTTTCTTTCCCTCGATTTTCAAGTCGCACGAACCGTTGGCAATCGTGTCCCACGAGGTCCTCTGAAGAGCGTCGCGTAGTCGGTTCGTACTCATTAGAACCACTCGAGCAAAACTTGCGAGCCAATACGCGATCCGTCAGACTCCGTTGAATAGAAACGGTTGCGAGAGAAGCTGTCGCTCGGGCTAAAATATCTTTTTGTAAATTTATCAGGTTTGGTCACCCGGACAAAATTCAAATTGGCCAGAAACTTTTTCGTATAAATATCGTGATGATAGAGTGTTCAAGTGAAAATTTGGCGACGTACGTTCGCCATCGAATCTCCGGTCGTCACTGAGATCTCGCGGTTACGGACAAAGCAACGATCAAACGCATTGCGCGTGACGCGATATATGTAATATTGCGTAATGCAATAGCATCGCGCGACGACATATCGCTAAACGACGCGGCGCAGTGCGGGAATTTCCCTGTCTTGTCAGTCAAGTGGACCGAAAGTTCAACACGGTATAATGACTTTCTCCGAAACATACAAATTTGCTTGTGATTCGGCTTCGCGTCAAGTTTCTCTCCGGAAACGACGAACGAAGACACGCTTGATTATTCACAAGCGGGCGGTTCTCATTAACGCAGTCGGTAGCGAGTAACGTGACGACTTGACAAGCTTGAAATCAACCGGCACGCGCGAATGTCGATCGTCGTACAAAGGAGCGACGGCATCTACATATCATTCGGTGCTGCGCTGCTGCTGCTCCTGCTGCTGCGGCAGCAAGTGATCCAATTGAATTCCGCCGCGTGACGAGACGTGAGCACGCGAGGATCCGGAAAATTGAATTGCGATTGGGACGTCGCGGCAGAAAATCGTTCCCGATATGCGAGCTAACGAAACATCAAATTCAATTGGAAAGGATGAAACGCGGCCATGATGGAGTTCACGTCTATTAAACGGCGAACATTATCTTTGACTCTATTTTCGGCCTATATATGCCGATTCTATACGTATTTGATTAAAAGGCGTCGTAACTCAGAAGCGATTGTTAGCTCGAATACGAGAAATGAGAAAAGCCGTCGAGATTTAAGAGGGCACTTTATACATCGCTTGCATTCAATCGTTTAACGACTTTAAACTGCCGTAACCGAACGCTAGCGCTCTCAAGAGGCGAGAAATTGTCGGCGAATCCGCATTCCTGCGGACGAGAATCTCTTTTGGATTTATTTCGGACGAGATCGTCTCAAAAGCACCGGCTGCCGTTGTGCGGAGAACGAAAGGCAGAGAAAAGGCGGATCGGTGGAAGCGCGATTTTTTGATTTTCGACTTTTCGTCCGACGGGACGACTTCTCCCTGTCATTCAGACCCGCGCTTCTTCTTCTTCTTCTTGTTCTTCTTCTTCTTCTTCTTCTTCCTTCCACCTTCGCCGTCACTGATCCACCCGGGCGAATGAATGAACGAATGAATGAATGAATCGAAAGTATATATATACGCGACTTCTATCGGGGAAAGAGACTTGCTGGCTACCGGTGAATGGGGCGCGGCGTTGTCACGCTCGAGTCCGGAAAAAAAGACCAGCCGGCTGGTTTTCACGTTCCATCGGGCCCCGCGAATGGCAACACAAGTGTCCCATTGTCGATCTCCGGTGCCTCGAGAGCGCGAGAGGTCCCCGGCGCATTGTCGCACGGCTTCTTAACACCATTAACTACGTTTTACCTTAAATTTAACCTAAAGTGGGAGGCCCTCTTGACAAATTTCTGGGATTTAAGGCAACATGTGACCGGCGCGGTGCCTCACTTTCTCATCCGACAATGGGGGCCGAAAACCGGGGGCTCTTCGAGTGACCGCGTTGTACTCTTGTTGAGTTGTACTCTTTCTGAACGATCGTTTGACTGGAAAATCGTACATACAGGCGCGCGTTACGTCGAAACGAAAGTGGCGACGTGTGTCGGTGATTCCGCTTTACAATGGAACGTTTGATGTGCTTTATTAGATTTTGTGTATCTACGTAGGAAGCTATACCTTTTTTTTGACGATAGTTATTTCGAGCGTTCTTTACTTCATTATGCCAACATCCGTTTTTCTCTCATTTTTTGCGTATTACAATATTGAGATTTTGAAAAAAATTCGATTTATATACATAAAGAGCATTATATAAAATTAAATTATGATTGTGTTATATTTGATATTACATTTATAACATATAAACATAAAAAAAATATGACGCGCACGCATCTTGGTAATTAATTTTGCTCTTTTATAAAATTATTGTTACTAAAAACACTGTGCATATCACAGTAAGATATTAAAAAAAATCTGCATTAATATTAATTAAAAAATTAAATAAATTTTAGGAAAAAATATTTCTCATATTTTTAAAATATTGTAGCTTTTATAGATATCGTATAAAATGTTTTACATTTTAAATTGATTACTCAGGTGAAAGTGTAAAATGTCAGTGAGAAAAAGTTACGAGAAAATAAAGTACAGCAATCACGAATTTTATTTTAATCAAAACATTTATATTAAAATATACATTTTTTTACATAAATCTTAAAAAATATATCTACGATATGCACAATTGTTAATATAAAATACATATGTGTATATATTTACAATATTTACAATAGTTTTTTTGATACAGTTTTCGTACAACGCAAGGTTAACTTAACTGTGACGAATAAGTCGTCGAAAATTTGCGTTCACGCATTGTCTCAATTAACGTTAATTATTTGTGTGTGTGTGTGTGTGTGTGTTCCCCAAATTTACTATTACGTATTTGCAAAGTCACTGAGAGTTTGAGCCTCGCGTTGCAAGTACAAGTCTCGCGAAGTTTATGCGCAGACTTGCGGATTTACGAGTTAACGATTCTCTCAACGGTGTATTTCGTGCATCCTATGCTTCTGAAGATCGGAGTTGTAATCGCCTCCGAATTCGTAGTCTGATAATCTGTTGCTACTTCCATCTTCCTTCTCTTGACATCTTCCTCGCTCGCGTCCGACAAACTCCGCTTGCAACCTCGAGAGAAATCTCGCGCTTCGTATCCAATTGCTCTGTCTTGCGCGGAGTTTCTTCTCGTAAAGTCCGAAGACTTCTCTTCGAAGCGAAGAGCGTCTTTATTAGCGATCGATCGCTCGAAGTGCTCGGCTTCGACTCGCTCGTCGTTGCTCTCATTCTTCGGAGATCTCTTCACGTCCTCTTGCTCCTGTTCGCATTTTCGGCCGGGCGAATCCTCGCCGCAGCTGTCCTTCCGTTTGCCGCAGGTTCTTAGGCAGCAACACTTCTGACTCTGACCGGACGGCAGATCCTCCTTCTTGTATTTTACGCGACGATTCTGAAACCAGATCTTCACCTGCTTCTCCGACAGTCGCAGATTCGTTGCAATCTCGATCCGACGCAACCGCGACAGATACATGTTCGAGGCGAACTCGCGTTCCAATTCCAAGAGCTGAGTGCTGGTGAACGCGGTCCGGATGCGCTTCGAGCTGTTACTGATGGAACCCGGAGACTTCGGTGGAGGAGTCGGAGTGCTATTGCGGGACGGGGACTCGCTGGGTGCTGAAACGTCTGAATAGAAAAAGGTCAGGGGTTAATGGCGTTGCCGGGAGATCGTTGTTGTGATGGAGAGGGAAACCCGATGGAACTACGCTTCTACGTGATACGATTCTCGGAGTCAAGAAAATACTACGAAAGAGAGTATGTGTCTCTTTTATGCGAAAATATCTTAAAAATCCTAAAACTTTATGTGTCTGGATACATATTAAAATTCTGTTATCAAATACAATAAATAGTAAATACGTCAAAAAGAAAACATGACATTTGACTTATACATCAAGTTAAATAATTATTTGAAAACGAAAATGTTTTGTACGGAACAAATGACTTCTATAAATTAATTAATTGAGACGATGTTTGTTTGTTTGTTTTTTTTTTTTTTTATATTAGTGTCTATTACACGTTTTTCTTGAATGAATGTTCGGATTGATTATGAATTTATTAGCCACACAATTTATACCTGATAGTCTACTGGTCGAAGTATTTAGAGGCGACGGAGGACTTTGTCCGGGTATCGACAACACTCCTAGAGCGGGCGGGCTAATCGGCACCGGCATAGCTGGCGGTCTGGGCACCGGTCTGATCGGTTGATAACTCAATCCGAGATTGAAAAAATTGAACATGTAATTAGGCAGCTGGCTACCGTAGTACGGCAGCGGGTACGAGGGCGGCGAGTTGTTGCCGATTAAAGAATCCACCAGGAAGCTTCGAGACATTTTTTCCTTCTTGATGAAAGCTCTTCGGAAAATCAACACAACTTCTCCAAGTTGCGTCCAACTCGAACCCGCAGAGTTCACACGCGACACACGGTAATCCAGCGATCATTGAACTTTCCCTCGTCGCACTTAAACTGTACTTTTAATCTTCACTTCGAGTATAACGAAATCTTTATCTCAAGAAAAAAATCTACGCAATATATCCTTAAATCGGCGATTGATTGCCTTCTTGCGCTCTCTTTCTCTCGTTCTGTTTCTCTTTCGGAATGAGCGATATACATTTAATTTACACTGGATTTTTAATGGTTTTTTGTTATTTTAAAAAAACAAGATCGATTCGAACATCGACACGTGGATCCTGATTGCTCGACGGTGCATCGAGTTCTGCATCTCGAGGACCTCGAGAATCGTTATATACGGGGTGCAAACTCCACCCAGGGGTTGGTTTTGGATCCCGGGGCCCCTTTGTACGGGGCCCCGCCCTTCTTTCCCTACGAGGGTGCCCCCCTTTTCACCCCAACTGCTCTCTCGGGGGAACGACAGTGAGTAGGGTATTTTCTCGCAGCGCTAATTCGACGGGTGGCTAATATCGCCGGAAATTTTATACGGCCTCTTTATCTATCTTTCTATTATTATTGGCGCCCCGACCCTTCCCGCCGTCGCTGTATTATTTCGAAGCCGAAACGAACTCAAAGTGCGATTTAAATCGACGGAAACGAGCCAGCGCTGCTAATTCCGGAAATTAAAAATCGTTCCGCACTCAGCTTGTAAATTCTTAATTGGTTTTCAGCGTTGTAAGAATCGTGTGTACGTTGTGTTTAAAAGAAAAGACAAGAACGCGAATTATATGATTGAGATCGTTCTTTATTTAATTTTAAAATTAATTAGTTTTAATTAGTTTCTAACGCATAAATATTTTTTGCTATATATGTTTAAAAAGAAATATTTGTAAAACTATATTTTGTGTGAAAATATTCGCGCAATAACATCCAATTATTATTTTAATATCCAATTGTTACAAGATTGTTGCTTATTAATATTAAAATATTGTATTAGAATCACATGTGCGTGTCAATGCTGATACAATCTCTGTTCGAGCGTGAATTCATACAATTTAGTTCGTCGACGAGAGCGCCGGCGAAAGAAAAAAGACCCTTTCATCTATTTCTGCGATTTTTCTTTACGTAGCAGAGGGTGAAACGGGAAGGCTTGTTCCAGCTTTTTTTCTCCGTCGACGTTTATCAAGTGGGCTTCCCTGAAACGTGCTGAAGAATCCGCGCGGGCAATCAAGATAAGCTGATGGGGGAGGAGTCGTCTAAGGACCTTGGTACCTTACGCCGATTTGTGGGAAGCATCATTAGTAGTCTTCAGCCGCGCGAAATTAGGCAAACTACGCGACAATGGATCTCGAGAAAAAAACAAAAATTGAGATCAGACGCACATACCGGCAAGTACGAGTAAAAATTATTTCACACGTGCATAAAATGTTTTGACAAAGAAATAAAAAAAGGAACAACTGACGCGTATTTTATCTTTCGTGCTTCTATCTCCAGTTTGTTTTCGAAATCCTACGCTTTAAATTTTTTCCCCACGACAGATCGAATATAAATTCGTGTCTCAAATCGAACGAATGCGTTTGTCCGAGCGCGAAATGAGTTATTGAATAAACACTTTGTGTCTCGAAAAAAACGACAGGACCGCGGCGAGATGTGAACGCGATTGCAGATAATATTGCGATTAAAAGCGGCAGTTAATCCCAAATTTCACTTTTGAATTCGCGATAACGATTCATAAAAAACGGGAGAATCGGCGGAAAAATCAAATTGCTTCTGAATAGCGTCATCCATTGCCGTCTGTTACGTGGATCAATTTTGTAGTGGATGAGAGTACTGAGATTACTTCTCGGCGAAACGACGAGGTGGAGGAAGAAGGTTTACATCGAGATCGCTCTCCTCCGAGGGGCGAAAACGCAAGTTGGTTTCTCGCTGCGGGTCGATATTCAAGCGCAGCTCTACTTCAGGCTCAAATCAAATCTCAGCCTTAGAAACCGAGAGATTCTCTCTCGCCCTGCTTTATCTATCGGTCTTTCTTGCTTACTAAAATTTGCATTCTCGAGTGTATCACGTTTGATAAAACTCCTTCGCGTAGAGCGGAGAAATAAAAATATCAGCGCGAGAAAGGAAAAATGACGAGATAAATACAAAATGAATAACGAGAATAACTTGATGTTTCGAATACGTTGATCGAAATATCAAAAAATATATCATATTACTCAATCTCACTGATCTGCATATATAATTCAACCTATTGTAGGAACGAAATTATATTTTGTATTATTCTGGAGAAAATATTATATATCTTATTTGTCGTATCTTTGTCGTGTTTCTGTGTTAGCGGCGAACGTTTCATAATAAACTTGTATATTTGTGCGACAGTAGAGGTGACAAATATTATTTGTCCTCACCTCTGCTGTATTCGTTGATTATTGAATTACGACTCAACCGACAACAGATTCGAAATGAAAAACAGAGTTGAAGTAAAAGGTATAAAGCCGAGAGACGACAGAAGAAGATCAGAATCCGCCGAAAACACAAGACGCCCGAAGATTTTTGCGTGCTCTGACTAGTAGCCTAGACTATATAAGTTTGTTTTTTTTTTTTTTATTTATTGGCTTCGCATATTAAACAGACTTTATAATTATTTATTAAATTATTTATTTATTTATTTATTTTATCCAACTAAATTTCCTACACTATAATCCGTAGGAAAGACAGCGTCGTAACTGAATCGTCGCCCGATAAATATATCACGTAATAATAACGCTCTTTATATATACTTCGTTGTACACGTAAATTTAAAAGCTAATCGTTAAACGGTTAAGCGTTATCACAAATGTGATAACCGCGAGTTTCCTTTCCAAGTTGTTACTACGTTAAAAGAACAAACAGGATAAATAGCTCTGCTGTATAAGACATCGAATCGATTCCTATTGGCTCGCTGTTTCAGACGATATGATAGAAAAACTGAGGCGATATGATAGAAAAACTGAGGCGATATGATAGAAAAATTAAGCGGTTCCAAAGACCGTCGACTGTCGATGAGAACAATTCGTTATTATATATCTTTCGCCACGGAACAAACTTAAAATACAAAACTCTGATAAATATTTCAGCGTGTAGTAAAATACAGTGAAGAATATAATATGCATTTGTTTATAGTATATTTAATTTTCTGTGAATCAAAAAAGTAAATTTCAATAAAAATTACTTAATCAATTAATTTCAATAAAATACATTTAAAAAAATTAAATAGTTCTAATATACTCGTGAAAGTCCGAAAGTATATGCGACATAGTGTACGTAAAGCTTTTGGGATTAAGTGAATAAAATATTTAACATAACATTTTAAAATAAGAAAAAATTTTCAAATCGTACGAAAAGAAAAAAAATACATAATTGTTGTATGTGTACGCTTACGAAAGACATACAAAAAAGTCAAATATTTGGGACACATCAGTAATGCCGAGAAACATATTTGTTCACTTGTGCATTAAATATTGAAGTTTCATAAAAAACTTTTATATGAAGGTTTCTCTTTTCAGTTTTACTACCGAAAGAAAAAAAGTGTCTTATAAACTTCAATATCTGTGTTTTTTCATTTCGTATGTGTGCAACATCGCATCTGCTCCTACGATAAAAAAAAAGTATACAACTAAAAGATTATATTCAGAAGTAATGATAGTTATGTTTGTCTATTTATTTTAATAAGATTTTCTAATCTATTTTTTGATAGTAGATTTTGATCGACGCAGTAGTTAATTAATATATTAGTACTACAACGCATTCTTCTTTGTCTCGCATGTTAAATACATAAACTTGCATTTTGTTCAACAGTGCTTATTTCTCGCGAGATGCTGTGTTTAAGTTTCTTCTTTTTTTTGGTTTTATAACCATCTATCAGTGTAAGTAACAAATGCGATAATTCACAAACACGTGAGTATAATAGAAATTACGTACAAATTACAAAAACAGTATGTATGTAGTAATATTACGTAAATTACATAAATATGTAATCTTTGATAAGATATAAATAGATAAGATATAAATTTTACGTTGAACTAGAGAATATATAGAAAAATATACGAGCCAATAGTTTTTAGCACAAAGCTTGAACTTATATGTATAAAAAACAGAAATTTTGAATTTTTGAGAGTTAAAAAATCTGTCAACCTTCTGATCCATAAAGCGAAATAGTTTTTGAAAACGCCAAATAAACTCGCACGCGATGCTCATTCACAAAGCGTAAAATTGATGTTTAACACAAAACCCGCCGTTTTGGAATTTATCCATTCTGACGATCGGTCTCGTCGCAGCCGAAATGGTCTTGCGCGAATAACTCTGACGGGATTGCACCTGAAAAACTGATTGCGCGCATCGACGCGTTTATTATTACAACGATGGAAATACGGTCCGATGATTGGAACAAATTATTTCGAGAGAACACGATACGACGATAATACATACTGGTGATGTAAAACATCGTTATGGAATTACAGAATATCGATGTCAACATACAACACATACGATTAATTATTAAATGACAAAACACATCTCAATTCACACGCTTAATTATGCTTAATTACGTCGAAGACAAAACTGTTTCCGAAAGTAAAAAAGTTTTGATTTAGAAAAAAAAAATACCGACACTTCGATATGTGGTTTACCGGTTATTAAGTCTCGTTTCTCCCGTGTCACACATCGATCGTCGTAAAAGATCAATTTATATATTGGCAATCGCGATAATCTCTAAAGACGAACATCTTGATATTGGCGGATAATGCGCCGTATTATTGAGCGCGCAGGATCAGAGTTAAGAAAACATAGCCGCGATTTCAAACCCCTATCAACACAACTAATCCCATTAACGGGAGGGCACACATACGAAGGGGCACTTATACACACCCTCACATGCTCCTCGCGTACACGCGTATTAAAAATCAC